GTGGCAGGGACACGCGGGCACCAAACCCGAGAGCAGCTCGGGCTTCCCGCCCCTCCGCGGGGGACGGCGGGGAAACTTACTGACCCGTGTGCGGCACCGGCGAACGGACTATCCATTAACTAGCGCACTGCACAGAACTAAATTGCGTTAGAGACAATAAAATGAATATGACTTCTGAGCGTTCATTAAAACTGTCACCAACCATCTGAAATTTAACCTACAAACCACAGCTATCGTTCACGTGTCCCGAGAAAAGYTCGATTAACCGGCACAGCAGTCAATACTTTTGACACACAGTAAATATTGCAGGCAGTACCTAGAGCTGATTTTCCTAAAYGTGACAAGAAATAAATAAAAAATAAACGAAACCCAATGACACACCTATTAGCTACAAACTTTCACATTAGAAACCACACTTCATCTAGGTATGAGTGATTCAAGACTGACCGGCACTCTCCTAYGCAGTCAAAAATAGGAGAGATGCTAAATACACAATTTTCTGTTTAAAACTTGATTTTAATCAAAACCTAAACTCTTGTTCTAAATTTCTTGTGCTGACTGTAGTCCAAACAGTAATTCAAGCTAAATTGAAAAAAGAACATTCATCTTTGTATTTCATATTTCTATAAATACTAGAAAATTCTAATTTTATGAAGCTAAACCACACCAAATAAACAAAATCCAAAATGTGTTAGCCACAACGCTGAACACAAATACTGGGAAAAGTTCCTTTTTCAGATAACCTACTCAAAAAAAACGTGTCCCACATAAAACAAATTCTGTAGACCAGAGATGCTACTGGGTGCAATATATTTTTACATAAACTGCCAGAATTAAAGGGGGGAGGTGGTTATTTCCAGGCTTGGGGATAACATTTGCTACATATGAGCAGCTGGTCGAGATTCGAGGCTAAACCAACTGTTTCCTGTCACATTTAGCAGCCCAGCACATTTAGAGCCTTAATATGAGGAAAAAGGTGAAAATTTTTATAGCTTGCATCATGGTGCAGTCTGTTCTAAAACTCATAAGCTATGCATTTGGTGGAGCAAAATTTACTCCTTACCTTTTTCAGAATTACCAAGATATGAYTTTATGCAGAAAATATATACTTTCCATTTTTGAATAAAATGTTATAATAAGAAAAAGGCTTTCAGCCTCACTGTTTATAAAACTTAATTAAACTTGGCATGTCCGTAAAATTTTCTGTTTACCTAGGGAATGGAGGGGCCTTACAGTTTATCATGAATGTGGTTGATAGAAATGATAAATATAATGTAAAGATCTATCTGCCTGGAACTGATTTCTAGAACACTGCTCTTATTTCCTTCTGTATGGATTCTATTTTTATTGCATTACCTATGGCTTGACAGAACAAGCCTAAACGGGGACAAGAGTGTTTTCAGCAACCAATGTTCAACTTCAGCACAAATAAAATGTCTATTATTTGCTTTTAAACGTGAAGAACATTTACTAAAGTAAAACTATAGCTCCATACACTCTGAAGTTCCTCTTAAAACCATGTACAACAATTTCTGCTGTATGAATAGAGTGTATAATTTACACACAAGTTGGTTTTAATTATCACAGTTCATAAAGGCCCTTATACCTTAGATCTGTCAAAATGAAGTTTGTTAGCTTTGAGCAGTTTTTTTTAAATGCACGTATATAAAAATAATATATAGTAATAATAATAAATAAGATATATAAATTTATATTTATATAAATTATCTGTATTTATATAGATATCTAAATTTATCTGTAGAAGATGTATATATTAAAGAAATTCTGTCTACATATATAAATAAAAGGATCCTCCCTTTCGGCCTCCTAAGCCGGAGGYGCTTTAAGCCCATGGGGTTGGCAGCAGAGCGAGGCCGGAGCTTCGCAGCGGCGCGAGGCCGGAGCCGCCTCGCACCACCCAGCGCGAGGGCGGCCCGGCACCGGCCCGAGCCCCAGCGCTCCCTGCCAACAGCATAAATGCTGCCATTAAAATATTTGTTTTAATTCTGACCTCGGAGTCACAGCTAATAAACAAGAAAGGCAAGGAGAAATTGAAAAACAAACTCAAYGCAGCTGTCGGGCTGGCCGTTTCACAACCGTGTTTAACGGCATCCTTTAATTCAGGTCTCTGAAGAGAAGCCATGCGCCGCAGCGCCCGCCAGCCCGCGCTCCAGGCCCTTCGCACTCCCCGCCGGTCTCTCAGGGACATTGGCCCCTGCTTTTAACTCCTCCTTGGAGCTGCGTGCTGCAAATAAGAGCGCAAAGCTATTTGCTGGGGGTTCTCGCTGGGACACCTACTGCCGGGCACTGCATCTGTGCTGTTCTTCCCAAATCGCTCCGACTTCCTCACTACCAACTGCAACAAATTATTTTTGTAGATAGAAATCCAGGTTTGTGTTTGTGTCAATGCAGAGATCATTTTAACATAACCCGTAACCAAATGATTCTTTTAGAAACATGTCACAAAATGCTACCAAAAAAACTACGCTTGCAGAATGAAACATTAAGCTTATGCAATTCTGTAGACTTCTCCAAGGTTAATGAATTACCTCTAAGAACAAGAGCATTACTCTGTAAACACATCCTTCTACACTCAATAAAAGTAACTTGCAAAAATTCATAGGATTATTCACGTGAATTAAGCACAGCACAAGCTGAACATATTGAAAAAGGGCAGGCAGAGGTCACGTAAAAATCTTTTAAAAGGCCACTTTGTAATATTGTGCATATAAATTAAGAATGAGATTCTTTAAAAAAGCAGAATAAGAAAATTTGTATTTTCTATTTATTTTGGAATACATTCTTTGTAATTGAAATAATATTGAATTATATTTTACTACAAGATAATACATAACACCCTTCTGTTTTTTTCAAATATTTAACAAATGATTCCTTTTCAAATACTGAAAAGATGAAAAATACCATCTCACGGCCCTCTGCAGGAAAAGATTTTGTTTCCTTTTTTAATTAATAGTCTCAACTCCCTGGTACCATTCTCAGTTCCAATTTACATGGAGCACTTTACTAGGGTCCTAAGGCTTAACCACATGAAAGCAGGAATAAAGCAGTGGACACTTATACTGAGAGGAAGAGAAGAAAACTAAAAATTTCAAAGAGCATGCAGAAATTTCCATAACAGGTCATTCCAGTGGTCTGCCTAGCCCAGYGTATTTATTACTAGTCGCTGTTGTTAAAGGCAATCATCTTGATGCCTATGATGGAAGACGAAACAAAGTGAATTAGTTTTAATGGACTATGGCCGACATCAGAATTGGTGAGGGTTTTTTCTCCTTTCTAAATTACAGTGTCTAATAATACAACATAATGAAAAACGAGGATGTTTGTATGGTTCCTTCAGTCTCCAGTCTAGACACTCTCTAGTTTAGACTAATCTAGTTTATCATTGAGCAACTGATTCTAATTGGTAACATTTAATCCTCTCCCTTCCCTCTCCCCATTTCCTCTTCCCATTTCAAACCCTGCATACACTTATAATTCCTGGCAGGCTATCATCAACACATTAAAACCTTGGAGGCTTTTTTTGTAAACATCTTAAATTAAATAACCCCCATGGTGTATTCCTTCCTTTTGTGACCTTTCAAAATTCAGTGTGGGGTACCTTCATCCAGAGTTTACATAATAAGCTTGTCTYGATTTACATTATGTTGCAGACCAGATTGTTCCATGATAGTCTTCTACAGTCGTGACTACAGTCGTGACTACAGCGACTACTATGACATTCTTTAACTATGACTTGAACTATGACATTTCTTGTACGTGTTTATACTCMTGCATGCACATATACAATTTGAAAGATAGTTTAATGCCTTAGAATCACACTTCTCAACCCACAGAAGATACACATGTGTATATAGATCAACTCAGTTGCATGAAAAAACAGCCTTACTACTTTAAAATATTACTTATTAATCTGATATACACTCTAAAATCAGATCAATTTCTTGTTAACATGTACCATTTTTCCCCCCCCATCACATTCGGCAATGCTGAATTATTGCTATAGCAACATTTTATTCAAAACTACATCACTAAAGTCAAAACATAAGTACTAAAGGGATCATATCTGAATCATATCTATTCAGAGCTGAACACCTCCATAGCTCCTGTGTCCTCTGAAGACGAGACATGAACAAATTATGTTATCTTATACTGATTAAAATAGCTCAGTAAAACAGTGTTCATTGTTTGCCTTCATTTGCAAAGTAGTCAATTCTGTTTCAGTAAAACATCACACAGACACAGCATCAAATTTAAGCAGCCGCATTTTAGCTCATGAGCCTTTCTCGACTCTAGGTATTACCTTTCTACCAATGTAGAAAGCGAAAGTATTTATGCTCTTGAATTGGCATAGCTGATCCTCAAGTGGCACAGAGTTGCACAAAAATTCTCTGAACTATCAGCAAAAAATTAGGCCACATGAGAGCACAGCTTTTTTTATGTCAAAACTAACAGTGAGGATGCTTTGAACTGCACGCCACTATTAAAGAGTTCTGACAGAACAGATGGGATGTCAGAATAAGACCAACTGGTCACTGAATGTGAAAACATAAATGACACACCGTTTCATTCTTTGAAATGTGACTTCAGCCCCAAACTGTGTATGGCATTTGCTATGTTTTATAACTTACTAATTTAGGCAAGTGGGAGATGTTGATTCCCTGGTGATCTCATTGATCATTACTGTTCCATACTGAACGAACCAGCATAAACAGGTATGTTAACAGATATGATTGTAGTGGTAGATAGATTATTCCTAATTACACCAGAGCATAACAGCTGCTCAAGTTTGAAATTTCAAAGAAAGTTAAATTAACAGTGTATGACATTTGACCAGTCTTGTTGAATGTTCTAAATAAAAAAAAAAAATAGTTATTTGCATGAATTATAATAGCATTTGCAATTCCTCCAAAGGAACCTAGGATATTTTATTGTCTTCATCTGGTTAACAACAAGCACACTGAAAGAGGAGAATAACTTACCGCTAGGGTTAAAAGCCATGCAGCAAATAGGCTTTTCATGTGCAGGGAAGTGGGCCACAATACCATCACTGTCAGAATCCTCGCTAACAAGTACCTGTGTAAAATTAACAGAGACAAGAGAAGGTTAAGAAACCAAAATACCATAATATCAGTGAAAACAGCACATCACCAATACAGGATTTGTATTATAGGACATATACGATGGTATGAACTACAAATAACTGTGTGTGGACCAGAAAAACAGTCAAGGAGAGCACTGTTTTTGTTTTCCAATTATGCAGGTACATTATAGCCTTTATCCATTGGACTTCCAAACGACAAAAGCACTAGAGAGTGTTTGAAGGTAGGTGCATTAAAAAAAAATACACTGAAAAGTCTACTATTCTAATAAATTAGAAAAATGGCATCTGTGGTTAGCAAAGGCCACTTTCTTACAACGTGTGTGCAAAATTTCCCACTTCAAGTTCTATAATAATTTGCTATTTTTCAAAATAATCTGAAAGGTTTTTAATACTTCCTATTTCTACCAGATATCAGAATAATTGGAAGATATTTTTATGCTTCAAAAAGAGAAATCATCTTTAAATGTTTAAAGAAGTCACGTAGTATGGATGAAGAGGCCTGTGCCTGCCTCACTTGAAATATTCAGATTACTTGGCACTGTCACATAGGCACAATTATGGTTTTGCTTTCCGTTGTCAGCATTCCGTGCTCATTCCAGAACCGCTAACCAAAGGGTCTGGAGATCTTCCTAAGAGCTTTTCAAAGAAACCGTGTTCTTTTCTCAGCCTATATAAATGACACTAAATAACTCCTATACATCATCTTTTCACAGCTTCCACTTTTATGTAACTTAGTCTCCGAGGCATTGTGCTCTAATCAAAGATACATGCTGATTATAAAACAACATAATAAATTAGTTCCACAAAAGAGAAGTAGCTTTTAATCTAGTCTAGAAATGTGTAGGTATTGGCAGCATCCGAACCACTGTTAAAGCAAGTTACATGGCTTGTTTCAGACATTTTTATTTACTTATTTATTTACAGACAGTAAACCAGATTAACTCAGTAATTTTTGTTGTTGTTTTAAGCTAATAAGCGCACCACTTATCATCCCTGCAACATAAAATCCCTGTTCAATAGGAACATTCTGGCTAGTAAGAGGATCTTTAAATACTTTTCCTATGTAAAATATTTCAATACATGAAACAATGTGAAACATCTCAAATATATGAATTTGAGTGTATGATAAAGCCAAAAACCTTAAATTTGTATGCTATGCTAACAGCATCCATGCTGCAAGGTTTTCAATCATTGCTTCAAATCACCTTCCAGGATACACACTCTTTCTTAGCAATGCTAAAAAAAAAGTTTTTTTCAAAATCTCTGCTTTTTACTATAATTTTTTTTTTTTTAAGATTTAATTAATCTGTCCTTTCTCAGCATTTCTACTATTCCATTCATTGTGATGCAAATAAAATGAAGGCACTAACTGGCATTAAGTCCATTCGAGAAGCAAAGAAAAGCAACCATGACCTTGTGGATCCTGGGAGTCCCGCTCTGCCACCGAGTCCAAACCAGAGCTTTCAGACTCAAACCAAACATTTTTGTCCTGTATGAGCCAAGCAGAAAGCAAACACAGAAACACCTTTCTCGCTCAAAAAGAGATGAATCCTTTTTGTGAACATGCACAAAAAAAAMCAGTTTCTGGCGGGTACCACATCCCGCCTTTCTTGACATACAAGGTCTCTCGCTCCCGTCACATTGTGGCCACAAAGTAGTAGTATTTGCTTGTGAAACACACAGGGGGAAAAGACACTGGCTTTTCAGACATAGGATACAATTAACTTGGTTTTTTTTTTTCTAAAATCTTTTTAAAAAGAACAACCTTTTTTTTTTTTTTTTTTTTTTGGGTACAGAGAAGAAAAGTAAATCACTGACTTGCCTTTAAACTGCTGGACTGCACTGTAAGATTTGTAATATTGTTCCCTGCACATGTGCCTCAACACTGACTTTGTACAACCTTTATATAACACTTTTTTTTTTTTTTTAACCATTAAAAAGAGTAGAATTGGAAATTTTTCTTGGAAATAAAACCAGCGGTACAAATGGTGTAGTGATGCACACAAGTGTTGTCAAAAAGCTCCAAAGTAGCAGCCCACAGGAATTCCAAAGTTTTTCTGGGAGTTTTTCATCCCAAAGGGATGTCAGTCAAAGTTTTAGCCTCTAACCACTCTCTACTAAAAAGATCTAATAAAGTCTTAATTGGAAAAAAAAACTATCAAAAAACAAGTGTCAACAAAAAATAAACTAAAACCAAAACTCTTAGACCAAGAGAACCTTGGAGAAAAAAAAAAAATAAATAAAATCACCATTCTGCCTATTTTTGATTCCTAAATAGGCTCCTATAAAAGAGCTGCAAGGTGATTGCCAGCAGCAGCCCCAGGCTTTGCTGGACAATTGGCTCCAATGCTCTATATCAAGGCCAGGGCATTAAAGCCGAGCAGAGCGCTGCAGTCGCTGGATGAGCGCAACAGACTTGATCTTTTTCCAAAAGAGAAGGAGAAATCGCCTAGGTGTTTTGCCTGTGTTTGCCATGAGAAAACAGAGCTTGCTTGGAGAGCAAGCTGAAGCTTTTTGTCTCCTATGCCATATTTTTCTTTAGTCTTTGTATTTTCTGTATTGCTGAAGCTACTGGTAATTACGCCTTCAATTATTTTAATCTTAAAAAGCAAATTACACCACTTATCCCGATAGAGACATGTTTTTAAATAAAACATGAAAGTAACACAAATAAAAATGGACACAAATTCAATCAACTAGGTCTTATTCTTAACAAAATTAAGAAAGAATAACCCCATCATCATAAAAAAAWAAGTTTGACAATATTTATAAATATGAATATCCCACAATACATCCACTGGCACAGATCCCTTTAATCCCTTTATTAAGGTCTCCGTTGATATAAATGGCTGAAGCCAGTGCGGTGCCCAGTGCAGTTCCCAAGCTGCAGGTCCACAAAACAATGCCCCCCCTGCAAACCAACACCCCCAAGCCCGCCAATTAACCTCCCCCAACTTATAGCTCAGGTCAAACATCASTGGAAAGGGGCTAAAAGTGATAAATCTGTGACATGAACTACTGCACTCCTTTTTATAGAAYCCAGCATAAACTCAAACCAGTCTTGGGCTCAGCCTGAACCATTTATCTGAGACAAAAATGTCTTCTTGACAAAAAGCAGATCTCCTTTAATCAAAGTAAGGCAGACAGTATTATGCTCTGAGGGAATCCTGTTGCTCTTTTTATATCTATATATAAAGAGAACTCTTCTGTAATACATGTAGATATAAAAACTGAATAAAATTGATGCCAATTATGACCATTAGAATGTCAAATTAGCTTTTGTGCAAACTGTTCCTATAAATAAAAGCAGTGGTGTTAATGACCAGGGGAATTATATACGTATTAGAGTTTTTATTATTGAATAGCCTTGATTCTTTTTGCTTTAGGATGAAGTTTCACAACAAGTCTTGCAACTGATAAGCATCTTTATTTGGTTCAATTGTTATCAACTCCTGACCAAACGAAAGTGAACTTTTGAAACTTCATTCTGCATTTTTCCCCCCCAAAGTTCCTCTTTAATGCAATAAAAAGTTAATAGGGAACAGAAAAAAAAGCATTGATCACATTTTAAAACCAAAGATCAATATGTTATCTTATTTTTATTAGGTAGTTTTAAAATATCTCCTCAAATGCTCTCATGCGTTCTGGAGGTTCTCTGAAAGCAGCACAATGACACGTTACCAGTCACGCTGCTCTATCGAAACCACTAAGAAACAAGTTTTTTATTTTTAAATGACCACATATTTCTCTGTCAACTAAATGTTAGATGTTGACCAGATTTACATTCAGTCACAAACCTGGCCACTTTGGACAACGCTCATTATTGCCAACTGCACGTGGGTGGCCGAGCTGATGTATTAATTAAGAAAACCGAAACAAAGGTCAAAAGAAAATAATTTTTCTTTAAAACTTAAGCCACTAAAGACTTACACGTTTAATTACAATTACTGAAAAGGGGGACATCTGCAGAGCTTTAGTTTTGTCCATTTCAACCTATTAACAGATTCAAATAAACAGTCGTTACATCTAACTGAGAAGTTTGCTAACACTTCATTAGAAGGAAGTTGAAACAAGCACGCAACCTTGAGAGCATATTCTGGTTTACCACAAAGTTACTTGGGCATTTTGATAATTATTTTTACTCTCTTACAAATATATCCTGACAGCCATCTCCAATAGTGCCACAGCCTGACCCTTTTTCTTTTCTCCTATGACTGCATAATTTGAATTTTCTTGGAGTAGCAAAATTTCTGATAGTAGGAACTATCACAAACTGCTGGGTATGAGAATTCACTATAAGACCTGCATTTGTAAGATACTGTGCCCACAGGTTTAACCTCTGTAAGATTTTTTCACATTTTAATTGTACATTTCTCAATGGTAAACTAATGCTATTTCACATAGTATCAAGATCCTTACTTGTCTCTTACTACCTTCTTTTTCTGTTCTTCAGGAGGAGCTCAGTTTACATAAGAGTGCACTTGGTGAGGGAGGGAGAGAGGAAGGTAAGAATCCAATTCTTTGTTTCTGAAACTCCCCTCCAAGCTCACAATTAGCTTGAGAGTCTTCAAAAGCCACATGCACGCACACATATATTTATATATTTGCTGCAAAAGTCTCCACGGAAGAGCAGCAAGACTTCCAAGTGGTAACTCCATCCAGATACGCCTTGTTGAGCAGCACTAACCCTGGCATCGGGGCTGGGACGGCCAGCGCCTGCAGCGGGCACCGCCATCCCACAGCACCGCACACCAGTGGGAAGGGAACACGGAAACCACAGTCCCCRTGGCGCTCACGGCAGGGAGCGGGACCAGAGCTGTTGCTCCTGTACCTGCTCAGGCCTCGTGTTTCCCTCCCGCGTGCCAGGAAGCGGCGGGAGAAGCTCTAAGCTGGAGGACGCGTGGCCAAGGAGGACGCAGCAAGGGAAGGCACCGGGCAGCTCCGGGGACAGCCGCTCTGCTCCGCAGGGAGCAAAGCCGCAGCGAGTGGTGCCCGCGCCGCCGAGCACTAAAACCACCTCGGAGAGCAAAGCAAGGAGGAATCAACGCGGCTCAGGGCGCCCTGCGGGTTTCCAACGGGAGCGATGCTTCACTGCAGCTGAAGCACAGGAGCTTCAGTTTAAAAACAACGGTCAAATTGGAAAAAATAATGCTAATTCTTAAAACCTACCTTATCGCAGAGAATAAATGACTTATAGTATTTTAAAACTTCAGATTACAGAAATCTGAACACAGGGCATTCACATGATCGGGATATCCATCTTAGAGCCTCTTCCCTCAGGGGGTCAAGACAAAAAATATTTTCCTAGAAATGATGGCTTATTTATGTTACAACAGCATTATTTGGACAAGGCAAGCGTTATCATTTTTACAACTACTTTTCCATAGTGCCCTTTAGGCTTGATAGCTCCCTACTATTGCTAAGGTCAGAGGACAAGTTCATAAAACCTTTAAATCATACGTAACAAGGCTTAAAAACCTAAGATAAATCTTTTTTTTTTCCTCCCCTCCAGGCCTATGAAGAAGACTCAAAGCAGACAGTGACCATCAGAAATAATGACTGCATTAAACAATGTCTCATGAGAAATTTATGAAGTTGAATTTTTCTTCTTATATTTTTCTTGCAATATAAGAAAAGATAAGGCTTTTTATTCCCATGAAATACACTTATTTTAAAAACTATGTCTGAATGATGTTCAAGGAAAATGTGCGCTAATTTTCATACTTTTTTCTTCTTTCAATTTTGTCAGAAGAGCTCCTAATGTTAAACAAGCAATCCATTTTTGATGCAGTACTGACAGGGCTGAAAATATTCTAAAATATGTTCTGAAATTGGTTCTGAAAAACAACTGCATTTCAAACAGCATTTTTAAAAATAAACAAATATCTTATTTTGCTCTCAGGTAAGGAAAAGATATTGTCATTAGCCATTATCTGCAATAATGCATCCTAGAATTATAGAAGAAATAGATATTTCTTCTACAGATAGAAGAAAAAATATTTCTTCTTTAAAATGTAAATTGTGAACATTAAGAAAACAATTTTCAAAATATCCCAGATAATGAAATTCAGGAGAGTTTTTGCATGACTATTGACTTCAGGATCAGGTCCTTAAAAATGCAGTTATTCATAGAAGAAAACARAAAAGCAAGATAGTCATGGATATCTTGTTTAGGATAAAGACAGTTCAAAAGACCCCTTTGAAGTTGGTATGATTGCTGTCTGGATTTTTCAACCACTGATTTTGCCTGATGCACTGTACACAATAATTTAAGTATGTTATTGGTTCAATAGTACAAACACCTCACTGAACACAGTCATGCTTGATCACCCTTCAGTTCTGAAGATATGCAAAATCATAAGGTTTTGCACTTAATATCCAATTTCACTCACTGCCTATTTTACACTGGAATTAAACTGCCTCCTATTATCCAGCCACATTATGCACTAATAAATATAATCAGACTACATATACATTTCAACTGATCACTATAAATCAATGTCAATTATAACAAGTGTTAGACAGACAAAATGTGACACTTCACACTTGATGTTGTCAACGTGTCATATAAATATGGTCTAAGGACAATAATATATATTGGCTTAAATTCAGTCCCAAATAGGGTTTTGTGACAGCTGCGTGYGCCTGCACTAGCTTTTGACCTAGCAAAAATCTCATCTATTATTCATCTGCAAAAGCATAAAATACAGCGTATTGCTAAGATTTCTTTCAAAATAAACATTTGTCCTACTCTGCACAAGCTGTATTACCTGCCCTTCTCCAACTGTCTCTGTGTCAATAATAGTGATGATTCCCGGCACCAGAGGACTCCGACGAATATTGCTATGAGCTAAAATTTCTTCTTCGGTTGCTCCTGAAGGCAGCGTCCCTGTCAGCTGGGTAACTACTTTCCCAACCATTGTAAGTCCAGTCTTTATCGTCTATAAAAAGAAAGAGAACCAATAAATAATGTTTAGGGCTCTTTTGCAGATCTACCTGGAATTTTTTCTTGACACGATTAATATTCTAAGTAGGCTGCACACACACAATAGAAGCACACTAAAGAAACATGTTTTATAAGTGATATATTAACTGTGAGAGATGGAACAGTAAACTTTTCAAAAGATTTAGCATCCTATCAACTTGATATATTTGACAAATAAATACATTTTGACTAGGAACTTCCAAAACACACTTCAAGAAATACTCATTTTCATATTGTCTATGTGTTACGGCTTCTTTGTTTTTTCCATCTTCTTTATATACTTATYGCACACGATACAGAGCATTGATAGTTAGGAAGGATCCAACGATTAAGCAAAATGCGGGMGGTGAAGGGAGTGCATTACACAGAAACCAGCAGCAGTTAACGCTGAGGCAGTTACAGCCTTGAGCACAAGCGCAACAGCCGACGGATCCGGTCTGGACAGAGATCACGGAGCCCTTCACTTGTTTCTCAGGAAGCTGCCCTTTGCAGCACTCAGCCTCAACCTGGGGTTCCAACCCAACAGAACTGAAGTGCTGCAAAGCACAACTTTGCGCAAAGTCCACCCACACTGCAATACAAATAATGCAACTTGCCACAATCCACCTATTTTTTAACCTTTGGTTTGAAAATATATTAATTGCACTGTKTTTTACTTTGCAAAGATGCTAAAGATTGTTTTCATATTATTTTATTTGGGGAAAGCGGGAAAGAATATGCATTAAGCGAGATAAAGGTTAAAAAGATCCCAAACTACAACTGGAAATATTTTCTCCTTGAATCAAGGACTRCACTTTACTTGCCTATAAAGAATTATGAGAATTTATTATGCAGTATAAATAAGAAATAACAAAGAGTAGAATRAGACCATAACAAGGCAATTCTTAACTAAAAAGGTGAGCTAAGCTGCCTGCTAAATTGAAAAGGAAAAAAAAAAGTACAGATCACAGACTGAAACCAAGAAGCAGCCACAAATCAATTGCAACTGCTTTGTTTAGTGCTAAAATCTCAAACTGCAGTGATTAGAAAACACATTAGTGTTCATCAATTAGCAGCCAAACGTTTGTTTTAATAATTCATGGGAAATGACTTACACAAAGTCTGTTAGTGTGTTGTCAGGAAAACCTCTGAAGGGCCAACAGAATTAGGCGCCACACTGTATTGATGGCAATATCTAGCCAGGAAGCCTGATTAACCTCTGAGATGCCTCAGCTGATGTACTCACCCCATTAATGCTAATGGAGATACTACCACTTAAAACCGAGCCACGACTTTATCATAGGAATGTCTTCGGGGTTTAAAGTCTTTAGTAATATCCTGCCATTTGTTTCTTATTATTTCTTATATTACTCAGATAAAACGGGCTTACTTTCCTTTGCTGTAACAGTGACGTTCAAGACTTAAGAACATAACACAAAATAGATAACGTTAGTCAAAGAACAGATGTAAAAGYCAGTGTCATCACGAGAGTGCATTTTAGCAGACACAAAAGCTGCACGACAGTCCTCTGACCAATGTAATACTATATAAAAAAAAAACGGTAGTTTATATAGCAAGAAAGGTAAAGCAGTATAGAGGCACTATATGGCAAAATATCCACGAAGATTAAAAAGAATAATAATTGACTTATTTTATAAAATATCATCGACATTTTAACTAGAGAAATTGGATTAAAAATATCAAGCATATAACTGAAGCCTATTTAGAAAAAAAAATAAGTTATTCAATTCATTAAATAAAAATGTTATGTGGTACAGCGGACTGTGACTGCAGGTCTGCTGAGAATTAATAGGTGTATAAAGATCTGGCCAAGGCCATTAGCACAGAAATATCAGTGAAAAACCATTACGGCACTTACTTCTTTGTGCTATGTGTATATTTGCAAAAACTTCCCTGGTAATCTTTAACCTTTCCCATGTCATATCAGCTGTCCCTTCTATCCATTAGAGCTAATGACCTTGCTCTCACATAAGCTGTTAGTACTCATTAAGAAGTTATCAGGTAACAAGAGAAAACAGATGCAGCCGTTGCTAAATCGCTTTACCACCGGAGGATTAAAAGATACAGAGAAAGAATCATCTAAAGAAGTTATTAGGTGAGAAGAACTTGGTTTATAATTTGCTGCTAGACATTTGACAGACGAAATACATTTTAATTTCAAATAGGTTAAAGTTTGCACTGTCCCTATTTGTCATAGATGAAAACTGCTAGTGCATTGTAAACAAAATTTTTATAAATCAAAATACTTAATCCAATTCCTTTTGTAAGCAGCTATGTACAATGTGCAAACACAAACTCTTTGTATGCTCATGCATAACCTATTTGCTTAAAAAAAGGAATGTTCATGTTCATTCAAATACAAAGAAACACATATATTTAATTAAATGTATACACTCACTCGCACTTAATTGAAAAAGTACATCTTTAGTTGACAAAATTAAAAACCATCATTCAGTGACTGTTAGACTGTTTTGTTCCAACAAGGTCTTAGATTCTTCAAATGAGAAAACAATACATTGTTCCCATTCCTCATAATAAATAAATTTCACATGATTTATTTGTTCACAAATGAAAAATCTATAGAGAGGAGAAAAAGGCATATTAAAAAGACATGCATCTATTTAAATGTGAATGTCTTTGTAATCAACAAAAAAGCCTTTATTCTGAGCACCAAGAACACATCGACAATTACAGACTCCAATTCCAACCCTTTCTCTGCAATGCTGATATTTTACCCAGTGCCACCTGAATTTCACCCAGCTAGTGGGCTATGTAGACATCTGCTTCCCGCGTTACCTGCCCTGGATGCAGGACACTCCTCATACACACGCGGGTCACTGGTAGCTACCTCAGCACTGAATAAAGAAATCCCAAATACTCTTCTGATAGGCAAGACTTGCCTCGTGTCCTTGCTGTCTATCGACTACAAACTCTTTTCCTCGCCCATTAAAAACATGAATTCTGGAGGCATGGAAAAACACATGTAGGGTTTGCTCACGGGATTATGCAATTTCCTAACTTTCACTACTAGTTCATCTCTACATAGAATCTAAGTACTTCTTTTCTATTAGTATAAAAATATTTTTATCTTCAGTAGCTATTTAAATGATGCTACATCTGTAAACACTCAATTTCATATGGTAATTTCTAAATTACAATCCTTACGAGATAAGACCATCATTTTGATCCTGACTGGCCTTAAAACAGAGTAATCCATGGTCTTGGGGTGCTAAGGACTGAAACAGATACYGTCTTTTTTAGAGCTTTCATCTGTGAAAGGCCTGAACAGAATCACTGCTTGTCTTCACTAGTCTTCAGAGCCCATTAGAATACTCTGACTATCACTACATGGAATAATAAATCTTTGGCTTSCTCCTCAGCCATGACTTGGCTAGACTTTGGCAGATCCTTTTGCAAAAAAATTTACCACACTGATCCTAACTGTGGCTGCTCATGCCAATTGTTTTTTTTTTATTTTCAAATCTGTTTCATAAAACCAGGTTCATAACACAAAGATTGAAAGAGTTGGAGATCTTCCTGCCTTTTTTTCCTTTGTATTCTGCCACCATCCGCCAAAGAGATAGCAACAAGTTCTACATGACCTCTTCAGAAGAGCAGTAATTCAAACTCCCCTCAGCAATGCAAAAAAAATGATTTTTTTCCTCCCTTTCCAGCCACAGAAAGACTGCATCCAAAACTATGCTGACGGAATATGTTCTTTTCTGTGTTTTATTTGTTTTCACATGAGATGGCATGACCTATGTGTCTCTCTGTGGCTTCTTATAACTGTTGTTTTGCTCAGTGAAGTTGAGCTTTCTATTCTGTGCTGTCATTTAATTCCTATTATTAGATTTGTTTTGTGGTGTACATCACAGATGAAAAGGCAAGCGGTTTGAAGGAAAGCTTGTAATCAGCATGAAGTTTGCCAGAGAGCCCCAGAACACACATGTGTGTGCACACGTACATGTAAATACATGTGTGTGGGTACACATGCCTGTGAACAAGAAATAACTTGGGAAAGTGTTGCAGGCAAGTTCTAAAGGAAAAGGGCAGGGGGAGGAGTGAAACAGCAGCTCTGCCCACTCCTTGGCTTGTCTAAGATTTTTTCAAGCCACGGTCATCTTCTCACACTATGAAAACCCAGACATTTCTCTGAAAACAGAGGGAAATTATAATGTCATCAGAACTAAGAAGGCTAGGCAATGGAACCCAAATATAAACAATTATTAATAACTCTAACCTTCAAAGAAAGCTACCAAGTAATTAATCAGCTACAGAACTGTGCTGTCGTCCTTCAGGGAAATTAAAACACGCAATGCTGATGTGACTGAAACCAAAAAGCAGCAAGCATTTCTGAAGGTAGCTTCTATAATGCTGTGAGACCATGAATTCTAAAAGCTCATTTCTAGTCACAAAGGCTTATATATCTTACAGTCATTAGACAAATCCCTTTGTTATGATTTTCCTATAGCAAGGGTCATTTGTAGGACTAGGAGCATCCAGTAAATAAAAAGTCAGTTCCAAAAGACAGGAATACTTAGAGAGATGGAAAACACTGGCTACTCRGAGATTTGCAGGATCAGGACCATATTCACAATGCTAAGGCCAGTACTTTTCTTACCTTATTTTTTCTTTTATGAATGAGAAAGGAAAAACAACAAAAAAGTCCATACAATTCAGCAGGGAAATCTAATAATTCTCATACATGATAAGCTCTCCCCTCCGTGGAGGATGTACTCACTTTGGCAGCACTTATGACTGTGGCAGTGTAAGACTGAATGTTGTCTCCACAGGCTCCACCACGGGACTGATGGCATCGGATCAGCTACAAGAAGAAAGACAGCAACCAAGTAACTACTATTAAGCTACACAAACCCATAACCCATTACCATAGCTCTTATTTATCATGTATAGTGGTGTGTTTTTTCCTACAAATAGCAAAAAGCCCTGCTGAGACACTTAACCCCTTTTTATAATCTTCTGGGTGCCACCCAGACTGTCGCATACTGAACTCCAGTTTTCAATTACAAGATGAGTAGTCACTAAGAATTCATAAACTTTGAAATGGTGGGATTTTTGGTCTGGCAGCAATACCACAAATAAATTTAAATAAATATAATCAAAAGCTTTAGCCATGTATATGTAACATTAAATATCTGACATTCRAAGAATCTGAATGTGGCTTTCCCCTCCTTTTTATGACTAGCAAGCAAAGAAATGACAAAGGAAAAGAGCTACTTTAAACTTTAATAGATGAGAGGAATGTACATGGGGTTTACTTTATATTGCCTTCCTTCAAAAGTAATAAATCACAACAAGACTTTTCTACCTGCCATCAACCCACAAAAGCAGCTCTTGCCTTTGAACCTTACTAACAAGAAATAGGAAGTCGTGCTTCTCACTACATAAAATGGTAAAACAACTATGGATATTTACTGCCGGTGCACACAGTATGCAGCCTGTACCATTCTTCCATAAACTTAAAGAAAAAAATCACTGTAATGTGTACTTCTGCTGATACTCCTTTTCTGCTCATGTTACAAAATAGCTAAACAGTTTTATCAGGGAGGAAGAAGTCCACAGTGAATACTCCCAGGAATACACATTCTTTCTGATATAGTTCTTTTATTAAGTAGTTGCTTATAATTTCTGGCAGGACTTCTAAAATCCCAAGCTGGCTGGGAAGTTTTAGCAAGTCATCTAGTTGTGACAGTAACGGGAGAGGCTTTTAATGCAGTTTCCCAACATGGGAAGGGAATTATTGTTATGTCAGACAAACCCATGGCCGCCTCCTGACTCAGTTTCCCTCAGATCAAATTTAAGAATCCTCACTTGCCTACATTTCAGAGGTTTCTATAATTAAATGTTTTAAACTTTTTAAATGTAAAATGAGTTAAGTATGGAGTGACATCACTGAAACACATGTAGATATCTTTCTTTTTGCCACCATAAAACTCACATCTTCATGGCCTGCAAGTTCACAAACAGCTCGAAAGTGCAAAGATGACTAACATAAAGACCAAACATAACTAATGTGGAGCCAAAATTAGGTCTAACACTGTTATCAAAGTCCTCTTCCAGATGACACTTTTCATACAGCTTTTGCATAGGAAGAATTAGTTAAGCCTTTCCTTACCTTATTTTCTGCATAAGCAAGCCAACGGCTTCCAAGAGCAATAGGATTCATGTTTGGCCCTGGACAAGGATAGCAGCCTGAAAGAATTTAAAAAACACAAAAACAAACAAACAAAAAAAAAGTATTAAAAAAACTTAATGACTTCTCACAAAGAATTTTACTTATTGCCAAGAAAACAAAAAAATCTAAACAAAGGCTCTTCATTTGCTAATATCACTCAGTAAATGCTTGCATTTTTGTAGCTAAAGATAAGGCTGCGGTTAGATGAGCTATTTTGAACAGCTAATTACGTGTAAATAGCAGTTTCTCCTTATGCTTGCATTTTTTAATGCTGTTCTGATACAGTGGGCCGAGGACATATTTAAACGTATCTCAAATGCTTTTGCATCTTCATATTTTAATTATTTTTACTTGACTGAAGTATTACTGTTGATCCAGCAGTTTCAGTTCAATACAGGCCCTTGTGTTTCCTGTAGTGGSGAAGGCTGTGCTGTGCTTGTGCTTTTGTTTCTAATATTTCTGCACAAAAGCCCCTGGCCTCCCAGACTTCTGCACATGCTTAAGATTAGAGTTATGGAAATCATCAGCAGCAAATCAGCAGCACCCTGAGTAAATCTATTTATGAGGCAAGGCCTAATTCCTTTTCTGATATGCAAAAAAAAATACAAAAAAGTAAGTATTACACAGGTGCAGGTGCTACCAAATAGTAAATCTCCATCTTCCTCAGTTCTTGAGCTGCAACTGAGCACAGGTCATTCAGCAAGTCACRGTCTTTCTCCTGGGTTGACCAAGAAACACGGCACAGAACCAATCCTTCCAAAACTACAGCCGCACTCGTCCCAACTAGAGAGTCCTGCTTAGCTGCACCCCTGTGCGGACTTGGCACCAGAGCATTCGTGCCAGCTTAGCCTAAACCGGTCTTTACTTCACATTTTGGAGTGAAGGCACAAAATTCAGAAGTCCATAGCAAGCTGTTTCRAAGGTCATAAAGCAGTACAAGAAAAAATAAAGCAGCAATTCATCCAATTAAATCCCTCTCAGGCCAGGAAAGTAAAACCAAAAGAATATTTTGTAAGGCCTTATCACCGCCGTGATCTCAGGAAGGAAAATGAGTTCTGAAGAGATGATGCCACAACTGTTATTACATTCCAGCACTGCATAAAATGTGGGTAGCCAGAGCCTCTTAAGGAACAAAGAAAGCAAAAAAAGGTTGTAAAGACAACCTTAGGTTGTAAATACAAGCATGTTCTTCCGATGACATTATGGATCTGGACCAGTCAGGATTTAATGCTGACTTCAGCTTCAGCAATTCTTATCTGGCTCTGCAGAGACATGCAGCTCCCCCACAAACACCATTTATTTTTCTCCCCTTTTAGGTACAGAAGATACCAATAAAAGCTGCCAGATGATAACCCTAAATCCTCCCCGTTACTGCACATCTTGGCACTCACACTTCCTCTCGCGCAGCCGTGCCTTGCAATCCCTCTCCTACCGAGGACAGGAGCGGCAGCCCCACACGCACTGCAAGGGCAAAAGCCCTGCAGTTTTACGGCTCCTCACAAAAAGGAACGCTTTGTCAGAAAAGGGAGCTGTTAGGAAATTATTTCAATGACCCAATGGAAATGAGGAAGTACAAAAATAACAATAATAATGAAAAATGCTACAAAGTTCTCTCTGAAAAGCTGCAGCTGGGTAGYTTGCTGCACAAACTGTGTTTGAGCAGTCGGGCCCAGCCCCTCACTGGGGCAGCCAGGCCGAGGAACAACCTCCACAGAGGTCAACAGCCCAGCTCGGAGCTCCGCTCCGCTCACAGAGAGAAAAGGCAGTGTAGAAAAGGGTCCTTTCCTCCCTTTCCTTTCATTGCGCATGTACATAATTTTCAGAACGTGCAGCAGCACGAGGATAAACAGAGGGTTATATTTTATGGAAAGGAAAAGCGAATTGTTTTTCTGCTTTCCAGAAAAAACAGCTGGAGTCAGCAAAACACCATCGACTAAGCAAATGAAACGACAGACACAGCGTGACCTATCGAGCTCAAATATCCAATCATTACAAGCCTAACTCTCTTAAAGATTAACTTCTATTTCTACTAAACTTCAAAACAACTGAGGAAAAATCCATTCTAAGCAACAACAGCGGCAATTTTAGCATGTTTACAATAGGAACGAACATAATGAAAACGCAGAATGAACTGTCAAGAAGACCAAAGTTTCCAAGTTTTAATGACGGTATGGAGAGGTCATCCAAGAGGAGACGACAAAGGGAAAGTCCTTCCAAAAGGACAGCAAATCAAGCAGGCACTATACAACAGGAGACCTTGAAATAAGCTTTATTGCGACTATCATCCACACACAAAAAGGGCAAAAAACCTATTGGGAACTATTTAAAATGCTTTTAAAGACAAAATTACTGCAATTTTGCTTTTTAAATGAAAACCATTTTAGAAAGTTGTTTATTTCTGTCCTTAAATCAGCTTAATATGAACCTTTCTGCCTTTCCCAGAACCTCTCRTCTCCTCTGCACTGATACACATTCACCTGGTATCACTTACATGKATTAGTCTCATCATTACTGTAACATTATTTTTTAAATGGGTATTCCATGTCCAGGATCCACCTGACAGTGAGAAATGCCCACTAGTGTTGCCCAGCTGCCTCTCTGGAGCGCGATGAATACGACGTTGGGATAGGAAATAGTCAGCAAACACACRAAACCCCGTCCAAGATTTCCAAGGATAACGAGCACTGGAGAGAGAGGGGGTCTGCAAGGTAGTAGATGCTGCGCCTACTCCCGAGTCAAAATCAAGTAATTCAAACCTGCTAAGTACAGAGATTACTGGATAAACAAAAATTTTGAGGTTTCATTATGTGAAGGGCTTCATTAAAAGCAATACATGCCATTTCAAATAGTTTCCAAATTTTCTTCTGAGCGTGTTCCAAAATGCTGAATGTGATGTAAATTATTTGCTTTTGATCATTCGAAGCATTTGCCACTTACTATTTTAAAATATTATTTTCAAAATCCACAAAGCAAAGTTACTGTCTATTGCTAAATAGTTACGATAACCCTCTACAGCTATGGAGCATACCCAGGTTTAGTCAGTGGATGTAGCTTGGAATTAATAATTTGTTCCTAGGCTTTATAGAATATATAGAACTCTACAGAAAGTACTTTTGTAATTTCTATTAATACTACTAAGTRTCATATTCCAGGGCAGCCATAAAAAAGATCCATGACAGAGAACATAGAAAGGATATTTAAAATAAATAATGGATAGAGTGACACTGCTGTTGCAGAAACATTGTTTATTTCCAAGCAAACAGATCACATAAGTTGTTTTATCTAATATTTCTTGTTTGTTTGGCCTTTTTTTAGCGTCACCAAGCAAACCAAATTTATTTGTTTATAAATCGTATAAAGTGAAATTGTTTATAAATTCCTTTGGGTTCCTTCTAGATGAAAGGCCCTATGTAAACGTTCCTACTTTCACAGTGCCATACTTCCCCGAACTCTATTGTTCCGATACTTCCTTCTGCTTAGGCATCACCCATAAAAAACTGGGCAGAAGAGCCAAGCAGCAGGATGCACCTTACTGCAAAGGCACATTTGCTACCTGGAGATTCTTTCCCCACCACCCGCCCCAATCCTTGCACAACTTGCATTGCCAAACACCAAACAATTCCAGAAATAAAATGAAAATATAGGTGCATAACTGCTGCATATACCAGCCTCAGTGCTCCTCGCAGGGCAAAACGTGTCCATGCTGTGTGCTCCACACAGGAGCCCTTCTTTTTCTGCACACTTAATGTCTACCGAAACCTCCTTTTCGTTTTGATTCTGTCATAGTAGGGCAGGGGTTTTGAGGATTTTATTGTTCGTGTTTTAGCCTGAGACCAACGCCAGGGCATTTACCACAGACAACTGGGGCCTTTAATGCTTGTTAAGCTTGGTTGATCAATTAAACACCATTTTGACTGATTTCAGGACAAACTATGCTTTCATCTTGAGGCTTATTTCTTTTTTTTTTTTTTTTCCTCCAATCTCTCAGACAATTGGACAGTGACAAATCATAAGCTTGCTGTAGAGGTTACTGTTCCTGCGTGAGACAATGTGAATAAGTTGGCTTTGGTTTGTGCCTTTAACATTTAGGATTATTATTATTAATAAAGGAAAAAAAACTAAAAGCAACTTAGGCCAAAGTAAACCGCAATTGCTGCTGTTTATAATTCTAAAAATTTCTCAAAAATGAGACATAAGGATATAAATCTTGGATGCAAATGTCTTATTTCTGTCTTTAGGCACTTTTTCTGCAATATTTCTACTTTCCTCAAATATGATAAAACTGAAATATAATAAAACTCTGTAGGCAAAGGCACACACCAACATTGTTAGAAAGTAGAAAGATCAAATCTGCATTTCTCAGAGGCAGCCCCAAGCGCCGGGACTCCTCCTGTGGAGCCGCTCGGCTGCTCCCGGCTCATTCGAGTCGGCCCCAAACAGGAGCTCTCTTCCCACCTGCGTTAAGGACTTGTGGCCTGGACCGAGTCTCACCCTCCACAGCTGCAGGAATCCTAGCAGTGATTACACCCTGTGGGATATCCAGGATGAGTAGCACTTACGCATCACGAGTGGGAAGGGAAAGGCACATTCTAGAAGCTCCACTTATAGCTCTTGGGCACTAAACTTTTCACGAGACGCCTATAGTGTTTTTCTTCAAAGCAAAGAGATCAAGCGGGTCTCTAGGTGTGGATCGGGGAACAGGCCTCCCAGCAGGGCTAACAAAAATGCACAGAAATGCACAGATGATTTCCAGATCGGACCTGTGACAGACCGAAATCCACGTTCTGCGTCTTGTACACAAGTATTGGGGAAGACAGGGCTACAACAGCCAGAMTACAGATTACAGAGTCAAACACTGTTCTAGTTATTCTTTTGAAAGGTGCAGGTGGGGTACATTTAATATATACTGAATAATTTTTGGCATGTGGTTAGGCAACAGTCTTTTGAGACTTTATATACAATAAAGTACTCTCACTGAAATCTGGAAAATTACCTCTTAAGGCTCTAGCTGTACAGCATCAATAGAAATGTGGTGCCAGCTAATGGCTGCAATAACTGTCTTCATCCCTAGAGAATAATGGATGGAGAATATATCAATACGAGAAGTGGAAGGGCCAGGCACCAGTTATCGGACACAAAGATGATGCCACATGCATGATGTTATCTGTGATAATCTTTACTTAGGGCCTTGGGGGGTGGGAAGGGAATTCTTCATAGAGAAGAAAGTGTCCATCAGGCCATATTCATAATGATCAACGTTCACTAAGCAAGCATTTTTGGAGAAGGGTTGGGGGAGCAYTGATGGAATAGAAATCGATGAAATTCAGCTTTTCTGCATCTATTCTTTACAGAACAAAGCAAGAAAAAGAGCCTGTACATCACTTTTGGATTTGATCTTCCAGTCATATACAGTATTAAGAAAAGGAGGTTTTAAGTAAATCTTGCATTAAATCCTGAAGAGTTTTGCCCTGAGCCCTGCCCAGCTGCTGAAACACCACCACCTCGCAGGCTGCACTGCTGGATAGACAGGGCAGAGATGCAAGTTTTCTGTGAGTWGCCACCCTCCGTTTTTGGAGTTTAAACACCTGCCTTAAATTCACACACCAGGCCTGGGACACCTGTGCAGGGCATTTTTGTTAAAAAAAGGACCAAGTAAAAGGAGCTGGCGCTCTGCCACTCRAGCCAAATCAGCCCATTTCCACTTCCTTACAGGAAGGACCCCTCTCCCCCAATGTCCTTACTATCTCTAATTTGCACTGGTGAAGTTCTTAGGAAAAAAAGCTAGGAAATGCAAGAGTTAAGCATCCCAACAGCAGCACAATCTTGACCATGTTCTACATCCTGAATATTTTATGGTATATTTATTATAACAATATATTAAGCTACACATTCAACCACAAAAACAAAACAGAAAGACAAGTACAACTCATGTGTAACACAGCTGCATTCGCATTGCTGAGGAACACCAAACTCCAGAGTGCCTAACACTGCTTTTAATTGCATCTTCTGCATTTAATTTCCATGTATGAATAGTCAACAAAACGGACAAGTGCTTCTGCTTAATTATGTCTGCACTTAAGCAGAGTCTCTGTGAGGCTCCCAATCTTACACTCCACTAAGTAGATACAGATGGGACATGCAAATTTCCATATCAGCACCAAGCCTCTTTCCAAAACCTGCCTTTTTCCAATGGTTTACTCTGGTCACACAAACGTCTTCAAAGYGCTAGTGATCCTAACTATATTTTCTGCCCTTTATGCCATCACTTCTGACCAAAAGCCGTTTAATAACACTGCTGAGAGACTTCTTCATGAATAAAGATTCTTGGGGTAGCCCCTTTCTCACTGTCACCCTCCAGCTGAGGTGTTTTGGGGTGACTCCACAGTCATGAAACTGTCAGACCATTTCACAGAACAAGGATGCTCCAGCAATAGAAGAGACAAAACTCTTCAAGCCCTTCTGCCAAGCCTCTTTTTCAGAGATTTCTACTTTTCCTATTGGAAGAGACGTCTCTCTTTCCTAAATAAAAGCAAACGACACACAGAAGTCCAGCTGCTGACTGGTTGGCTGATTGTCAGAAACCAAAGCAGCTAATTAGGGAGCTCAGTTGCCTCAAATCTCGAAGAATTCACACATCAGAATAATTTAAGCCTTGACAAATGTACTGAGGTCTACAAGATCTCAGGACACACCAGACCCGAAGGCAGACCAAGCCCTACTGAGCCTCCAACACGCCAGAGCTTTATAGCCATTTGAGAGCACAAGGTATTCAGGGAAAGAGCAGAGCCTCAAATCCCCAGGACAACGAGCAACGTGCAAGGCCGGGGAACTGCTTCACCCAGGARAGCAGCACGCTGCATCTACCCAGTCACTGACACCAAAGTCCAGGTGAATAATATCTTGAACTGCATTTTGGGCATTTTAAAACCACAGAGCTAGGCTAAAGACTGAGAACAACTTACGTACCTGCAAAAACTTCCTTTCTGTTGTCTTTAAATTCTATTAAAGTTACAGTTAGGAGTAGGATATCCCTGTTCTGCAAAATAGAGTTCAGACAGTTTTTAAAACACAAACTTAAGCATCTTTTCCCCTGCAAATAACTGGAAGTAGAAAAGCACAGGGATCGTCAAAACACATCCTTAATGGAGACTCTTAAATTGTTGACCTAAACTAACGCCAGCCTTCAYCCTGATTCTCTTCGGTGGAATAAAAAGGAAGCTTAAAACACAAACAAGTCTTTCCCTGCTTGGCTGTTCCCTTTACAGAACACTAGCAGATCCCTGGGTACCTTATGTCCATGTATAGGAAGAAACTGACACCTATTGGCAACTTGAATATTACTGCATAATCATGCTTTCCTTCAAAGCACTGCAAGGAACTCCTTATAATTAGATTAAAAACAAGCTAATATAGAAGGATATTTACAACTTGTCATATTGTGATTGAAAAAATACTCCAGAAGTTTCACCTTTTCCTTTTAAGCAATAAAGCTCCAATACTTCTAAATTATGATCTCTCAGCAATCTTAAGATTTTCAGAGGCAATCCCAACAAGTGAACGCTTGGAATGTTCATCAGCCATTTGGAGAGTTTACAGCACTGGCACTCAGCACCAGTTTTAGGAGGAGATAAATGCACCTTAATCCCGACTACATCCAGCAACAAGTCAGAGCTAAAGCAGTAGCAAACTAACCAAACTACCATCTTTTCCAACTGACATGAAAATCACTGCAGCAGAGGAAGAGCTTTTGGAGAGGACCTTATCTGCAGCCATCAGGTAAGGAGGAAAGAAGGGAGTCACTAGCCAGGAGCACCTACACACAAATACCTCTTTTGCTGCTATAACACACCCGAGACCTGCTTGAGTTTGGGAGACTGCTAAAGCTGGGAGAACAAATGAACCTGGGCCTAAGGAACAGCAASAGTGTGCACAGACCACTGTCAATCTGCCTTCAAAGCGTTGAATAGGCTGACAAGCCCAAACTCAAAATARTCTTTTTATTTCTGAAAAATAAGCAAAATATTTGAAACACCTAAGTATGCCAAGGTAAGTAGTTTCCTTCATCGTAAATAAGAAATTAGCTACGTCAACAAGAGAGGTGCAGAAAGTGTCACAGGAACCAWTTTTTTTGCTTTTTTTGTTTGAAGCAAGACATTTCCTGAGACTCCAGGTGAAGATGTGCAGATGCCTTGAGGATATGAAAAGGCAAATACCTARGGCTGCATCATTTCCAGCATGCAACCCGGCTCTGCTGACAACTGAAAAAGAAATCCGTTTCAYGTCCCTGCAGCTACTCACTAGAGCAAAGAGCAACACAACATCATACATACTTGTAACGAAGAATTTTTTGGTGAAAGTACAGCTGTCAAAGGCGGCGATCTTCTCCTGCAAGACTACGACGAGTATCCTGAAAACAGAGAAATGCAATATGTACTTTAAACATTAAATGCATTGGTTTAAAGATTCAATATCTAAATGTAATTATTTCAAAAGCATCAATATAAATTCCAGGGTGATAAACTGCCAGGTTACCAATACACGGCAGTTATTGGGGATTCTCTCTCATCCCAACCACATAACCTTCACTTCAGGAAGTACACAGATCTGATACAGAACAGCATAGCATATTTATGATATACCTTCTSCAGTAAAAGCTCCATTAAAAAGAAAGAGAACGGAGCTGCTAGGATCCTCAGTTACTTACAGTGACTCAAATAACGATCAACCCAACAACTGGTAGAACACAAGCTTACTTTGAAATAATCCTATTGCCAACCTCGTTGCAAATTTATTAAATCATCAGTCTCTATTTACCAAGAGCGGCACATCGGCGCAGAACTAAGGTTGAGAGAAACGGGATTAGAATCAATTTGTGAGAGCCGTGGGTGTATGTTTATGCACTCAGATGCATGCACGCTCTTGCTATATAATATCTGTTCATTACTTGAAAGACATTAGCAGAACTAAAGCCACACGATAACTATACACGAAACACAGTTGAAGCCTGAGATGCAAATGTTGCAAGTCTAACACCTGGAAACCTTTAATACATCTTTTCCCATAATAATGGCTTCCTAAAGCACTTKAAAGTTAGCAGTTAGTTCCTTAAACCCTAGAAGTGCTACACTGCATTGAGAAGTGGGCCAATGAACAGACAAAACCTGATTAAATGCAATTCTTAACAACACAACAACATTAATAAAAATCTGTTTTTATCTTATTCAGAAGAATAAGATACAAGCTAGATTTTTAATTAGCCTGAGACACTGTGAAACTTAGTTCTAATAAACTGAAATGGAACAATATGTTTTGTCAAAAAAAGGACTAGTATCTCTCACTAAAATATATGTACCTAGTTTTCACGCGAAAATGTTGTAATACAGACTGTTTTTCTGTACAAAAAACTACCAGATGACGATTTTGAGGTGTAAATACATAAACAACACTTTTCCATTCTTCTGCAACTGAAGTTTTATTTTAATTTCAAACGTTGGACTCCATTCATTTCTGGTTAATGGCCCATTAGCTCTACACTTGGTCGTTTAATGGGTTTTCAGTCTGAAATAGAGAGYGCTTGCCTTGGATAACAACAGAACCTGATACATTCCAGAAGAGCAACTACCCTGGATACAGCCACATAGCTTTGAAGTAGCTTTTCCATTTTTACCACTTCGGAAAAGAAACATTAGCACCTGGAAAGCCTTTTTAGTTAGGAGAGACTTTGAATGATGATTTGCCTTTTGACTGGTTTTGCAATTAGATTTTTCTTCTGCTCGGAGGCCGGGCTGGAAAGATTTACTATCATCGCACTGTACACAAGGGAACATTAAATTTTTGAAGAGACAGTTGCCCAGATAAGTACTGAATTCATCCTGGCAGACAGTCACCTCTTGGATGACACATTTTGCACCAACTCTACTACTTCAATGAAATTATTTTTTGATATATGGATCAAACTCACATCCTATATGAATCAGTTTGATTGGGGATGAGAACTATTACTCTTCACATCTTTAAAGATTTTACACAATCAAAATGTCTTCATTAAATGAGCTATGATATTAAAGCTGTTTATTCTGCAGTACTAACTTTCTTCTGTAACTTATACTTGGTCTCTAGACAAAAAATTCACTAGAATCATCAAAGATCATCAATATCCTCATGTACARGAAGGATTCTGGGTTTTCTGTCCTCTCTTAAAAAGATGCAGTAAAAGATCTTACAGGAATATGAGGAAGAGAAACTCAGTAGTCCTAAGGAGACATCGAATTGAACAACCATGACTACCTTATTTTAAGAAAACTATGAGATTTAAGTGAAATCCACTGCAAAAGCATGTTGCCATATCTCAACCAAGTGCTACTTGACAAGTGAAGAACCTAAGCTATGCTTACAGCAAAGTTACAAGAATACAATCAAGTGAATACATACATCTTAAGTTATATTTGTTACTGAAATTTTACATGCCCTACCACAAAAAGGGAATAGACCCTTACCTTTTGTTGCAATGCAGATCATAAATGGGAGTTTTGAACTGTATGGACTTGACCATCTCTCCTGTTCGCAAAGAGTACAGGTCTACACAACAGTAAGGTGGACTTGTGCTAAAATGAAGCAAGAAATACAATTTAAGTGGGAAAAATATAAGAAAAAAACCCACATTTTGTAGTCATAAATAATTTTTCATCTCCTTCATGTAAACACAATGAAAAGGGGAAAAAAAGGAATTAAAAAAGTCATTTTCTATTGTTATTTGTAAGTCAAAAACTCAGCAATACAATAAGAACACTGGAAAACAACGGGTCAATAGAAGCCTTCTACATTTTCAGAAGGCAGGATTACAGACTGAATTATGATATTTGCAATGGTCAAGAACCTGTTCTGCACAACCATTAATCAAACCCTTACAATTCTTTGTGCCAAAATAAGACTTTGGAACAGCAGATCTGGCCAGCAAACAAATCATTTGACAAGGATGAAGCTTTAGAGTATATTCTAGTCATTTAAAAAATGCTCTGCAGAGTAACCAGTGTTAAAGGAGTACTTACCACACTAGGTTACAGCTGAATCTTGACAATTTATTTGATATAGACACATTATTCATAATTAACACTATATCTTTGATGAACTTTCATTTGAACCACAGATCTTTTCGACTGCTTTATGGCACTTTTATCATCTTAATATAAATAAAACTCTAAGGCCACTTCTCAACAAAAAAAAGTGTACTGGCTTTGGAGAGGAAGAAAGTGCTGAGTGCCCTGATAGGGTTGAGGAAGGTAGTGGTGGAAACCATTTTACAGGGCAAGCAGAGCCTTTGATGTGGCAGCTCTTTTCCATAACACCTTTTTCCCCTCCAAGAACGCATTAAAATGTTGGCTACTTCTAGGTCAGAGAATACGGAGCAGCACAAGTTGCCAGCTGTACAAACATATCCTGAGAATTGCTAAAGGAGGGTGTTTCCCTTTGCCCGTATCTGCTTTATTTTATAGAGTCTAACACAATTCTTGCCGTAACACTTGCTTGTCTTGTGGATCAGCTCAAGCTGTTCAAGAATTTTCAGGAAAACCAGAGTACAACTGCCAACTGTTTATCACAAAGGTCTCCGCATGCTGAACTGGCTTATACAGCATGTACACAGCAGAAAAACAATATAAAATAGATGCACAAAAAGATAGTCAAAGAAATAATAGAAAAAAACACGTTGGACATTCTGCCTACAGAAACTCTTCCCAAAATATACATTTTTATAGGCACATACTGAGGCTAATAACTAGAAGGTGCTATTTATTATTTTAAGCACTTCAAAGGCCCTTCAGAAAGCACTTKAACAGCAGAGAGATTCGAGCCCTGTTACCTTATATTAGCAGCTCATTGCTGCTAAAAATGCAGAAAGCCCCAGAATGGTCAATCTATAAACTTCTTTTGATTATATATATTTATTGCCTAAAGGGAATTATTATTTTCTTAGATGGCTACAGCAGATTCTTATTTCAGAACAGAAATCACAAAAGCCAACACAGCTCATGTCATATTAGCATATATGGAAACAGCAACAGCATCAGTTTAGCCTACATAGAAGATAATGGTGTCGTTACCTTGATTTTGCCTGTTGGAATTGACACTGACGCAGCCTCATGGCTCATCTCAGCACTAAGGATGCTAAGGGTAACAAATTAAAAAGATTCTCTCTCTTTCCAAAGCAGGGAGAAAAGCTTCAAGCACCAGAAAACACTTCCATTCTTGGCCTTTCCTTCTGGCCCTTTGCATCATCTCCCTGGTAAAAGCAATGGTTTTTATGAACCTCGTTTACTCCACTTGGGTGCAACTGCTGCCTACAGCTGAGGACGTGTTCCAGCCCTCCTCGCAGTGCTCTCCCATGCACTCGCGCATTCTCCCCTGAGCCATCTGACACTGGAGCAGCAGCAGCAAAGCAGCACTTCTTGTCTTCTCCTGCAAAGGGAACTCCCCCAGCTCAGCTCACCAAAAGGGCTTGGGGAAAGSTCTAACAAACATGAAAGGAAGAAAGCAAATAGCAACCTGCACGGGCCGGAGACACAGAACAGGGCTGGAGAGGGTCTGCAAGCAGCTTGCCAGCACAGAGCCCAGCCCAGTGCGGTGTTTCTCACACTTAAGCACCTCCACTTTAGACTTCTCGTAATTCCCCATCTTCAAACGGGGAATTCTGACCCAGGTTGTAGAATCATTTCCTGATTATTAACTAGCTTCTTAACGCAGAGCTATCAACTGACATATCAAAGATAACGAGTACATGTTCCAACTACTATACAACCTTGACATCAGTAAATATAAGCAAACAATTAGATTGAGGCTCCTGCATCTTTTTTTTCATTTGATTGTTGCAATATGGAGATAAGAGAAAAAAGAACAGATGCCTTGTACAGCTGGCATGTGAATACATCTGCGTATATGCATCGCGACTCAACTGCCATCTCTTCACAGATTGGTTAACAAAGAATCTCCCAATTTATTAAAGCTCCGACTAAAATGTTTGCATACAGTAACAAACTGCACAAAATACACACTTATATGAAGAAATAAGAAGACTAATATAATCAACATGGGCCCATCATTTTCTGTGCCCAGAAACATTTCTAGTTCATGCTTAGAAGGAAAGTGGTTATTTCCTTCCCTGCTCCCACATGATGACCATCCCACTCAGAATTAGAACAAAATACAAACAACGACGACATACTATTCTACAAAGGACCAGCATCACCAGGAAGTTACTGGTAGAGAAAAAGGCTATTTATTTAATTTACCAGGATGACTGTGAGAAAAATAAATAAAGAAGTTACAAGTTTCCATATACAGTTCTGCTTATCCAGGAACCTCTCTCTTGTTGGGGCCAGGCTCTGATGCTCTACAGAATGTCAAGGAACGTGAAACAAAGCTAGAATATACACAACTGATGATATATTGGGGAAAAAGGAAAACCAACCTGTGCTGTAACACTGGAAAGTTGACGCATGGGATTTATGATCTTTCTTGTAATATTATTAGCTTGCTCATACCTGCTAAAAGGCAATTTTCTTCTCCACAAGATCCCTGTTTGGATTAATAGGTTTCAGTACTGGAAGGATCAGCTTTTCTTTCCAGGTCACACACCTTCCAGAAGCACAGCAGCATGAGCCCACTGGGCACTTGACACAAGCAAGAAAACTCTGAATTCAAGAGGGTTATAATCCCAAGCCAGAACAAAAAACAGTAGAGAATACAGGTGATGGGGGGGGGGAAGGAGACATCGGAGCATTAGCAAGCAACAAACAAGCTGTCTGACCAAACATGGAATGAAAATGATAGTTTCCGTTCCAGGGAAGTATCAGCAAATACAAGTTTTCTTGGCAATCATGGAATAGATGCCTTGAATCAATGGAGGTCATGGATTTTTCTAGTTCTGGGTATTTTTTGACCACTACTATGTCCATGTGGTTCAACCAAATCAATAGTGCTTGCATCCTACCTATAGCCCGTCTGTCAGGAAGATAGTTGTATATAAACAAGATGAAACCCATGTAATGAACCAACAGTTCAGGGAGAACACAGGGATRGACATGCACTCTGTTCGGAAATGGAAGTGACCAATGGCCAAGTATTGCCAGCACCTCTACATAAATTGAACAAATAAGGTTGATTTTCCATCTCTCAGATTGCACCCAACGCACTCTTTAGTGCGGACAGAAAAAGGCTTTTCCCATATTCTGCTTTACCAAGAGTGTGTAGCATTTCTACCAGCCTGCTCACTGCCTGTAACAACATTACTCACACAGACCATCAGAAGAGGCTTTATTTACATATATATATTTGAAACTTATTCAAAATGCATGTAGTTACATAAGGCCAAGCAGCAGTGTACAACCTACCTCTATGTACATGTTGGCTTACGCGGCTTCATTCTGCGACATGTGGCACGCCTGCCACTGAAGTGTAAAATATAGCACAAGCTGCCTTTTCAGCTGTGGCGTGCCCTTGCTGCGAGACCCGGGCGCGACACGCTTTCCACTTCACTGAGACATACCACATGTTACAAAACATAGCTGTCCCATCATATTTGGGGTTAGTTAATACAGGGAGATAAGCAGCATCCCATGGGATTTTTTTTTTTTTTTTTTTTAATCTACAAGGCTTCCTTGACCATAGACGTCATTGAGGAAAAATACATCTGGAGCTTCACTTTGCAGAGCAGAACTCACTTTTCTAGGGTACTCTGGACCATATTTTCTTCTCGTGTGTAATCAAACAGTCCTTTCTTTTATACAGCAGTTATAAACCTGAGCTTATTAGGCACTGTCTTTCCTTGATGCTCTACGAATATATGCTTAAGTAGGGGAATTTCATAAAATCGTAGAATTTCTGTAATTCTTAGAAAGCATAAAGTTAAACTACTGATGAGAACAGTTACACAACTCTCATAGTTCTACCAGACATGAACATGATCAGCACAGTCTCTCTGACCAGCTGATTAAGCTTACATGGTGATAAATTTGTTTCCAAAAAAAGTTACAAAACTAAATAAAGATTTGTCTTGACCTTCTTTTCCTTACTGTCAAATAAAGCAGAAAGAGCATTTTGTGGAGCCACTTTATAATCCTAGACTTTACTCTACGAAGGCGCATAAAACTCCAGTCAATCGGCCCTTTTTTTTTTTGACTGCACACTCTAGTCAATGGCATATTAGAAGAGCTCAGAAGACAGCATGCTCTTGATTAATGCAACATAAGTACACTAATTCAACACATTTGAGGCATTGTTTGTTACTTGCAGCAAAGCCAGAATTCTATGAAAAGCTAAAAGCAATCTAAACTGAAAATCAGCAGAAGTCATTTTTCTGAAGGGTATTACAAAACTCCTTCTAAAATACAACCCAAACCCTCACCCAACTATCAGCACGTTACAAGTTCCTCTGCAATCTCCGTGAATGCTCGAAGCGCACAGCTTGCGTGAGATTGAAGACTCAGCAATCAATATGTAAACAGCTCTGCTATCTGCTACTGTTAATACTGTGAAAGTCTATAACTTAATCCTGCTCATTCATGTAACACAATTTTCTTCAGATTTCATTTTTGGGGGGTTTTGTTTCATT